CCTCTTTCCCCCTCCCCTTTTTTTGCAGCTTCTAAAGGCGTGAAAGGTTCCCGGCGAAACAGGGCCTATCTTTTCTCCGTGACAGTTTGACACCTCGCGCACTCGTTAACGGCACGGCCAGCCAGCCTTCCCTCTCTTTTTTCGAGTTTTCTTTTCTTTTTTTGCGACATTTGCTGCGTTGAGGGCGGTGTGGGGCCTTTGACACGTCTGAGGGGGGCCTACTGTTGACAGCGCGATGGGCCCTAATGAAGACGCCATTCGAGCCGAGCCGAGCCGAGCCGAGCCAACGAACACAATGCCGCGTCTCAACAGTGCCACCGAGACGACTTATTAGCGAAGGAAGACTGGCCCGCCTCTCGCCTCACTTTTACCGCAGCCAACGCCACGCAAATTCCGGCCCTCGGGTCTCCGGCCCGCCGCGCAGTGTCTTTGGTTTGGCGCCGCGGCGCGCCGTGTACGAGGAGAACCTGACTCGGAGACGCCGCAGCGCCGCCTTTGAGAACGCAATACTGCTGCTTCGCTTCAGACCGCCTGGGCAGTAGGCAACACAGCGGCACCTCTGTGTGGCGGGTGGCCTACCCCGCCGCGTCCAGGCGCTCGGCCCCGCGCCGCCCCGCGCCGTGCTGCCAACCCACCGGGACGGAAATACCTCGTCCCTTGGTCACTTTCGCCCCGAGTCTCGCTCCCCTCGTTGAAATGCCCGGCGCGCGACCGCACGGCTCGGCGTCGCGTCGGCGTCGGGCGGCAGCGCGTCAACAGACTGTTTTATTCATCGAACCGAAGCTCTGAGATCCAGCGCTTTATCGCCTCGATTGCCTGGCGGGTCGCGCTGTCTCTCTCGCACTCACGGGGGCGTCCCCTGTCGGTGCGAGAAAGACAGAGCGATGAGTCGGCTGGCACATGTCCTGGCCGCCCTGGCCGGGCGCGGCGCGTCCACTCGGCCGGAGCAGGAAGCGACATCGCTCGACATCGCTCGACATCGCTACACACTAACTGCTGCTGGTTTGATAAACGCCACGAGCGGCAGCGCGGCAGCTCATCGCGTGGGAACGGAGGGACCTTTCGGGGCCTGCCCGGGCCTGCCTTATGAGGCGAGAAGCGATCAACGAGGAGGACGTGGAGGATTTTGGGCTGAGCGGACGGACGGACAGCACAGACAGACAGGCTGACAGACAGACAGGCTGACAGACAGACAGACAGACAGACAGACAGACAGACAGACAGACAGACAGACAGACAGACAGACAGACAGACAGACAGACAGGCGAGGGCGCGATGTGTGCGCGTCACAGACGTGACCGGCGTGCCTGGCGTGCGCGTGCGCAGGAAGCGACCCCTCGGCCTCACTTTTATTTCCGATTACCGCCGCGCGTGACCGAACCGAAACCGAAAAAAACGAGGGGAAAAAATGATTACTTATTTACAGCGCGACAACACCCGAAGGAATCAGTATTCGTCGCCACGGTTTTCTGCCGTTTTGTTGTTGTTTTTGTTGTTGTCATCGTCATTCCCCGTGGACCCCGTGGACCCGGCCGGCCTACCGGTCGCCAGCATCGCCAGCTCGCGCTTACAGTGCAGGCTGCTTGGCTGGCTGGCGCGGCTCATTCCGCATTTACTGCCGAGCCACGCGCCATAAAGACGCGAGCCGCTGCCTGCTCGCCGTTCGGCGACACACTGTAATTGACCCGGCGTGTTCACCCGAGGGTCACGGGTTCGAACACCGGCGCCGGCGGTCCATTTTTCTTCATTTTTTCGAACCCCTTTTTGCACGGGGATGCTCGGCGCTCCGCGCGCGCCCCCTTCGTTGACGGCCGAGTGGACAGCAACCGGTGCGCGGCAGCCAGCGGACAGAAAAAAAACTGACCGAAAAATAAAATTCACAACAAAAGTAACAAAACACGTCAAAGAAGGAAAGGGGTCGCTTCTCGCATATTCATGCTCGCCAGTGCTGGCTGGGCTGGGCAACCCTCTCCCTGCGACTCCATTACACTGAATTCAGCAGCACGGACGCACAACAAAGTCGACCTAAAAACCAGCAGCCCGCTAATTCACTCGTGTTATTGCCAACCTTGCTTTCATTTACTCCTTTTTCGCCCCGCGTGAGTGCGTGTGTGTGAGAGAGAGTGATGGACCCCCTCGCTAAAACCGCAGTTAGTGCGTCCGAGTCCTCTCGGAAACAAAACTAAATAACCGCGCGACAGCGAGTACACGGCTAGAAATAAACTAACGTCTATTTATTTATTTTTTTGGTGCGCCATGGAAGCGGCAGCGTCATACTCTGCACCCTGCTTCATTCCCACGGAAGGGAAAAAATTAAAAATAGAGAAAGAGAGCACTCCGTCGCAAGCGGCGCGCGTTGCTCCGCCTTGGGAAAATACGCCAAGGCTAAAATTGAAAGCAAGTTTTAGATAAAATAAATACACGCGATGTCGCACACGGCAGTGGCCTGCCATCGACACACCCCGACACAGCCCCCTTCTCCAGCACACTGGTTCCGAGAGTCGTCGCGCTGTCTCTCTCGCACCCACACTGGACGCCCCACGAGTGCGAGAGGGACAGAGCGACGACGCTCGGAGTCAGTCTGCAGGCATGAAGCCAGGTGCGCGCCGGCGTCCCCTCGCTCCCCCCTTCCACGCGCCGGATGCCACACACACACGCACACACACGCACACACACAGGCGCAGTCAGCTGTAGACCTCCAATGCTCACGCAACCGCCAACGCCGGTCCAGGTTACAGGGAGCATCACCAGGGCATGGCCAGGGCATCGCCGTATCGCTGCAAACCGAGCCTCCGAACCTGTCGATATCGCGGCCGTGCCGCCAGCAAGGCAGCAATGAGCATCCCGACAGTAAGGGGCTCGCGATGAGGCCCCCGAGGCCCTCGCCCGGCTCCGCCGCCACGAAGTCCATCCACACCGCGCTCTCATTGTCGCGTTCGGCTGCCGGGGACGCCGGCGGCGGTAACGGAGCGGGCTGGCGATGACGAGGACGACGACGCCGCCGCCGTGCTGCAGGTCCGCGGTGGCGTCGCCGCGCGTCGCCGCCGGCCTGCGTTGGCAACACTGCGACGCCCCGCCCCGCCCCGCCGACTGATGTGGTCGGCATGAGTGCCCGGCCCGTATATATACACAGTGCTGCCAACCTACCGTCAGTTTAACGAGGCCCCGTCCGTCTTTATAGGGGCGTTATGCGTTGGCAGCACTGCCTGGGAACACCCTCGCCGCCCCGCCCCGCCCCGCCCCGGCGTGACCGACGGCACGCACGGCACCGCGACACGCGCTGGCCGGTCCGATAAATTCCAAACTTGTTGTCCCCATTGTAAGGAAAACTGGACGGGTGACGCGACGCGACGACGCGATGTGGCCAGAGCTGGTGCCGCTGCATCGCAGCAGCCGCCTTGGGCTTTTAGTGCCCCCCCCCCGTCTCCCGCAGCATGATGCGGCTCGAACTACTCACGCCCTGATCACACCGCCTTCGCGCTTTCTCCAATAACGTTTTTCCCCTTTTCATTTTCCCTCCATTTTTCTCTTCTCCCCGCATTAGCCCTTCCGCGCTGTACTTGACACGCTGCCGGCCTGTCCGTCAGGAGGGGGCTCGGGGCTTACGGCGGTCTACGCAGTCTACGCACCAAAAACCGTAAACCCGGACCTGGCCGCCGCTAATGACGAGAAAAAAAATTCTGCCGGAAATAAGGCAGGGGGATTTTGCTCATTTTTGCTGCTGCCGCCCGCGTCCGCAGCGCGTTTCGGCCGTGCGAGAAGCAACGCGCCGAGTGCTGAACCGTCTGCTCCACTGCTCCGGATGAGATGACAACCCTCCCGCGTGGCGAGGGGGGAAGTCCGGTGGCAACTCCCGACGACCAGCTGGCCACACAGTTCAAATCAAGCTGGGGTCGAAAGAGGCAATTTTAATTTTGTCTTTCGGCGCACGGCGCAACAAGTTGCCTTGTTTGCCCCGAATCGACAAATGGCTAATGGGGAGCCAGGCCCACACTAATCAGCTCAACAAGGCGGAAGCGCGGCAAGCCCGGCCACGCAGCCAATCACCGTCATTTGGCTAAAGTGACATCTGCACAATCATACGCCACAGCCAGCGCCCGCGGTTCCGCCTGGCTACCTGTCTATCCGTCTCGTCTGTCTGTCTGTCTGTCTGTCTGTCTGTCCGTCCGTCTGTCCGTGCGTCCAAGCGCGCTAAGTGCAGAATGCGCTGACTCGCTGACCGCGCACACAGACAATCAGCTGGTTGTCAGTGCTCTGGCCCCGAAAGCACGGAGCACGTCCCTCCCCCTCCCCTCCCCTCGGCGACATTGGCTGCCCATTCCAGTGCCAAGGCTTGGCCGAGGCTTGGCCGAGGGTTCAAATACCCGCGTCGCTTCTTGGGAACGCGCCAAATCCAGGGCGCGCGGTGACCACACTGTCCCATCGAATTCCCTTTTCGAGGAAGGGGTCTGTCGGATGGTCATTCCCCCTGCAGTCTCCAGCGACACAGTCCGCGGCCGTTTGCAGCAACCGGTCATTTCGGCCCCGAGTCTTTGACACACTCCAAACACGCAGGGCACGCAGGGACGTCGGAGCACATGGGCCGGTCGTTTGGGCAGGGCCCGGCCCGTCAGGCCCTTTCTCCAGACACACCTGAGTCATCCGAGCCGAGCCCCGCCCAGGGCCCCGCCTAGGGCCCAGCGCCCCGCCGCCCCGCGCCACCCGTCCGGAACGGCCGCTCGGCCGCTAGAGCTAGAGCTAGCTAGAGCGGCTAGAAATTGGCGGGAACGCTAGCCGCGCCAAATACAGTAACGGTCCGGCCGCCCCCACTCCGTCGCTCCGTCGCAGGCTTGACCGGAACAGGAACAGGCATTTCCACGGACTGCGGCAATTGGCGGTTTGGTCCATCCTGGCCGTCAGGCTGGCCAATCCCCACGCGGATGCAACGCGTGCCGCGGCCTGGCAGGATGACGGTGGAGTGACATCACTTGCATCGCGACTAGCCGCTGACTCACACACACCTTGGCCTGGAACGTAATGCCGTGGTGGAAGGCCTCGTCGGAGTGCAGCGGGATCCGGGTGTCGCCGTCGTCGTTGGGCACCAGGTTGTACTGCTTCTTGGAGGGCATCGTGACTGTCTAGAGGACAGTGTCCTCTGCGCTCTGCGGCGGGGGTGGTGGTTAATCCAAGCTAGGGCAACGCGGCAGCGCACGCCGCAGCACCACAACAACACACACTGCACTGGTGCACTAGTCGATGCACTCGCGACTCGTGTCAGCCATCCCCTCGGCACTCGCGGTGCACTCGGCTGCGCGTCGGCGCGTCTCGGTGCCGATCCGTTTCCGTTTCCGAGGAGTGAATGGATGAATCGGCGGGTCCGCACGGGCCTAGCTTGACGAGATGCCGGCTGCCTCGGGTCGGCTGCAGTCGCGACGGGCGCAGCGTGCGGCGTGCGCACGAGTCGGCTCCAAGCCCAACACTGGCGCCCGTCCCACCCGTCCCCCGTGCGCCCGGCACCGCGCCGCACGCCGCGGCCGCGGCTCGGTGCCGAGAGGCAAGCGAGGCCCCCACCACCGCCCCCGCTTCACCCTTCTCCACCCGTCTCCGCCCCGGCGGCCCCGGTCCGACTGAGACACCTGTTGGACGCCGCTCTGCCCGGCACACCAGGCACACCTTGCTCCTCCAGCGAGGATGCCAGCAGCCAGGATGCTGGAGGCTGGAGCGGTGAGGCTCAGGGAAGCTTGGTCTCTTTCTACCTTGCAGGGAAGTTGGTGCAGAGCCCTTTCCCCACTTTAATAGCATTTTGTTTTCTCTCGATCGTCATAGATGGTAATTAATGGGTAAATGAAGATGTCATTACATGTGCGGTAATGGAAATAAGCTTTTAATAAACAATTGGAATAGAATTTTGTTTTACAATATAGAACACAGTAACACGACAAAAATGACCACCTTATACATGTTCTGAAAGGCCTATTTTATTTTTAGTATTTAAAAATTGGGCTGAACCAAAATATCAGCATTTACAGATGAAGTCTCTCATCTATCATTCATTTCAACCTCACTCACTTCAGAAATAGCATCTTCAAAAATGACTTTTAATTTGTCTTCAAGCAGTTCACGGCTTTGATTGACAGGGCAATTCATTATGATGGTAGATAGAGTGTTGAGGGCTTCTATTTGGGGTGGTACTTTATTCATTAAATCAACAACAACCGGTAAGATGTGCATTCCTGATTCATTCCAAACTTTGCTGGGAAGCTTGCAAAGAAGGTGAAGTGTTTCTTCAAGGACCACTAAATAGTTAGTCATTTTTAGGTCAGGTAAAATTTTGGTCTGAAACAGAACAAATTTTGTAAAAGAAAGTTCCACAAATAACAAGTAACATTCAATCCATATCAGAATAAAAAAGGATACCTTCAAGACAGTTCCTAAGCAGCGCACACAGAAATCTAGACAGGATCGGTGAGGTGAGTCAACATTTAAGTCCACATTTCCACACGCAGCAACAAGTAACATAATCGATTTTTGAAATGACTGGAAGACTGAGTAGGAACAGTCATTGTGTTCAGCAAAAAGGTTTTTCAGGGCATCAGCAACACCACACCACTCATCCATTAAAAGAAATGACAACATCTGGGAAGGAAAAAAGAGAATGAGAGCCACATATGATTCCTTCCTTCTCTCATTCAATTAATTACAAGTAGCAGACCACCAAAGATGTTAAAAATACAACCATCCTTACCTCAGCTAGAATATAAGCGGCAAATTCGGATGTTTTCACTTGAGCATTGAAACAAAGGCCATAGTTAACAGTTGTCTTTGCTGGGTGATCATCAGAGGAAAACACCTCTAACTGGCCCAGGGTCATTCCGGAGTACTTTCTTATGTAGCATTGAAACCAATCTTTTTCTAATTCTGTGGAATGGAAGAACAATTTTATTATAGTGTTTCAAATTTAAAAACTATGCCCAAACATAGACCCAAGGAAACCACACCTGAAAGTTGGAAACATTTTAAAAACTGTATAATTTTCAAAGCTTGGCCACGGACAGACATGCAGCCCCAATTGAATTCCTCAATAGATTGTTGACAATATTCCAACACCTGACCAATGTAGACTAACAGAACAGCTATGCTGCCCACTTTACCAGATGTATTAATTATTTCCTCCAACAAAAACTGTAAAAAAATTAAGAAAATAATAGAAGTATTTGTTTATGAAAGGATAATAATCAGAGGGCTGACAGGAAGCAAACCTGCATGGAGGTGATCCACATTGAAATCATATTCCAATCATTTGCAAACATTGCTTTGCAAATGCCAGAGATTACTTGCTTTCTCAAAAATTCCTCTTTACACAAAATATCTTTCCTCCACAGTTCCAATGCCTATAACAAAGAAAAATTATTCAAATGACTGTAATTTATACTGAAGATGTTCACAGCTTGACTTACAAATTTGGGAAAAGCATCCATTTCACTCCGGATGAACTGACAACAGTCTGTTAGTTCAGAAACCCATCCATGAATAATAGTTTGAGACTCTGGTTTCAGAATAAAAAGTGCTTCAGCAATTTTTCTTTGCAAGGTTGGGCTCTTAACCCCAACTTGTAGAGCTTTTGTGATAACTGAAGCAGGATCCAGAATAAATAGACGGATTAATTCACACCGCCACTGGAGAAAGAGTAGACAAAGGTTGTTTATATGGGTATTTCAAAAATCACAAGAGGGTAAAGATGCTAGCTCACCTCTTCAGAAATATCCTCTTGTTCAAAGGATAATTTATTAAATGCACCTAGGAGGTTTGGAATGAACTGTGAACCTGATAGGTAACTCTCCATTCCAAAACAGTGTAAATAATTATGTTTTACTTCCAAGATGTTTTCTAATGTCAAATACTTTGTACTTTGATAAGACAGACTTTTCAAAATCTCTTCTTGACTAGGATTGACATTTCCTTCTTTAAGTATTTGGACAACAGAAAACAAAATAAGTTCAACATCAGATTTATCAAGCAGATCACAGTTATCTCGGATTATTCCCAATTTCTCATCATCTTGAAAGATATCCGGACATGTTAAAAATAGCTTCATCAGCTTCGAACTCCTGCCAACTGGGCAAGAAAATCTTGATTTCATTTCATCCATGCTGAGATCTTCAGTTTTTTCAACCTTAAGTTCTGGTTTCATAGCAAATGGCATTGCAGCTTCAAGGTAAGCCGGGAGGTCTGGAAGTCTTGGATCATCTGACAATTTTTCAAGCAGCTCCAAAAACTGGAAAGTTTTTTCACCTAGAGTTCTTTGAAGAGTCTTATCTCCATTGTAGTATGTCACTTCTGCCATTCCCATCCAATTGTCAACTGTTAGTTCTCGGAGAAGTTTATTTAAGTTTGATATAATGACACTTCTAAAACTCCAAATTAGTTCATCTACACTTCTTGGCTGAAGGTTCTTACAGACAGCACTATCATTGCTTGTGGCACAGCGCATCGCATAGCCCTCCCAACACTTGCCCTGGTCCAGAGTCACATTTTCTTTCAAAGTGAATTCATAAAGGTGCAAGTTATTAATATAATGCAATCCTTTCTTCAAATCCTCATTCATGCAAGGATATGGTTTATCATTTGGAAGTGAAGAATAACCATAATTCTGAAATAACACTAAGTAGTTAAAAAACTTTTCTAAAATCACAGCACTTTCGCTAGTGTTGAGAGTCATCCTTCGGAAACATGATTTACTTAAATTTAAAATGAACTCCACATCGACAGACTTTTGAGGACTTAACTCGTCTGCACTCAAGATAGAATCTATCACAGATGTTGACAAGGCAAAAGGGCCAAAAGCTATTAAGTCTTGCAAGAAATGTGAGCCCCCTGACTGCAAAATCAATCTAAGAGTCAAAATGAAAGAAATCGGTTTTACAGTGCCAATTAAATGACAAAAATTCTCATCTTCAGCGACCAAGTCTATTACATCAGCATCACTGTTCAGAAGTAGAAACAGAAATACTTTGCGCATGTCATAATCCTTTGGCAGGTCCTTAAATGCTTCCGCAAGCCCCTTGCTTATTTCGATATATTTCTCTTCATCTGAAAGACAAGGATCCAGCAAATTAGTACTCAAAATTGGGCAAAAGAACATGTAAAAAGAAGAATAACAATCCAAAAATTTTAAAGATGAGGATATTTTGCAGCATTAAGTACTTACCTGTAAGCTCATGTAAGGAATAGCTGAAGCTTGAAAGCACATTTTGCACCAAAAATAAGGGCCTATCAAAGTCAAAGACCATCTTCAGGCAAGGAAGGCTATCCAAATGAGCAGAATTAACGCATCCCTGAGTTTCTAAACAGCATGAAATGATAAAAAGCGTGTTAGCACATTCAAAATTAACGACTTAGTCGAAATACCGACAAACGTTACATTCATTCGAAATAAATACAAGTTTTAGACAAGACAGAGAACGCACAACTCAAACTCAAGCAAGCAGCCGACGCTTGAAACGAAACAGAAACGAAAGGGGCGGGCGGGCACATGTACGCGGAGCGCAGAGCAAAAATCTTCACCGAGAGAGAAGAACAGAAGCTGAACGAAAACATTCGGTGGGCTTCGACTTGTCCGCTGCAGGTGAGAAGGTTAGGTTAGGTTTGCCAGTTTACTCTAATGTTTGGCAAAGGATCGGGATATTTACTTCTTTGTCGCTAGTCACCTCAAAGGATTTGTGAGGTGCATCATCTCCTTGTGAAATTCTCCGAAAACGATGGCTGTCTCCAAAGCTCTTGCAGGGGTAGCTCCTGCCTACTCACGAATACTGTCATTATTCCCACCAGACATAAATTTTTGCTTTGCTTATGGATCTGGTGTTATAAAGCAGGCGGGAGTCAGTTCCAAGAGCTCCAATATGATCGACCTTATTTTCGCTGTTAATGACTCACACAGTTGGCACAAACAGAACATTGAAATGAACCCCACCCATTACTCGTTTCTGAAGTGGTTGGGTGAAAGCTCTGTTGCTGCCTATCAAGACCATTGGGGAGCCAAGGTATATTTCAACACTTTGGTGCCAATTCCTTCCGAAAATGTGATGATCAAATATGGTGTTGTGTCGCAATCATCACTTGTGTCTGATCTTCTGGACTGGAGTCAACTTTATCTTGCGGGCCGTTTGCACAAGCCCGTCACAGTTGTACGACCAACAAGTGACTCAGAATTACGTTCTGCCCTTCAGAAGAATTTACATAGTGCTGTTCATTGTGCTTTGCTACTATTGCCTGAACATTTCACTGAAAAACTTTTGTACAGAACAATCATAGAACTGTCATATAAAGGAGATTTTCGAATGATATTTGGTGAAGACAAAAACAAAGTAGATAATATATTAGAACCACAGTTTGAGTTACTTCAAGCAATTTATCGACCAATTATCAGAAGCCTTCATGATTATATGGATGTCCAAGAGTCAGGGCTCTGCTGCCAAGATCCAGGCACTTTGGCCAAACTACATCATCTTAATCAACTCCCTAGAACCCCTCAAAGAGCATTAGTTCGCTTTTGGAATCGAGGGAGTGGGAACCTACGCCAAGATACTGAAGACGTTCTACGAGCTGTAGCCCATGATCCCGAATGTAGTTCAATATTACAAGACAGACTCCAAGATATAGTATGGGCTTCAAGTGTAAGACAGAGTATTAAAGGCATTTTCACTGCTGGCATTATGAAGTCTATTCAGTACAGTGCAAAAAAAATAAATAAAATGTTAGCGAGTTCAAAGAAAGCATTGTAATATATTTGTTGACTAGTCCTCGTTTATCTCCTGACCTATCTTTTAAATAAATTATTGCAACAGTGTTGTGAATTTTGTTTTTCACTTAGCCAGCAGTCTGGAAGAATGTGGGTTATCCGTCGGTTACTTTGTCAGTACCTCATAATTCTTAAATGAATTTTCAATGTCTTTTTTAAAACCAATTTTATTTTGCGTTTACCCTAATGGAAAATGTGGTCAGTGACAGCAGTTCTTAGAGTGTAGGTGAATTCAGCTGAAGTGCCTCATTTTCAATTTCTTTAACTGTGAGGCAGTTTATACTACATATCTGTACCTTTATCTTCTTGAAATAATAAACTTCATTGTTGTTAAAAGAAGGTCATCTTAATATATGTACCTGATATTGCCACCTTTAAAACATGTAGGGGACTATCACTCCTTTATTACCGCTCCTATTAACGTTTGTTTCAGAATCCGTCACTATGTCTTCTCGTGATGTTGGACCTGCCCTTCCGCCTCACATGAGGAGAAGCCACGGGAATACTCTTGAAGATGCAGGAAGTAGCTCGTACAGGACACAAGATGAAGAGAGGAGTAGGCACAAATGGGATGACAGGAGGAAGCACAGAGAAAAGTATGATGATAGGGACAGGCTAAGGGACAGTGACAGGGATAGGTATAACAGAGAGAAGTACAGGGACAGGGCAAGCTATTATACTTCAGAGAGGGATCATGTTAGAGCTAAGGGTAAAAGAGAGGAAGAAGAAAGAACCAGACCCTCAAGTGGACGTGCAGGGCAAGCAGAAAAACAGAGACATGAAGGCTCTTCAAAGCGCAATAAACGATCAAAAACTGATCGAACTTACAACACCGATACTGAAGAGTCATCTGACGACAGTTGCTCTGACAATCAGAAATGGACTAAAGAACCTGATTCGGACTGTGAACCTGAGTCTGAAACCTCAGAATTGGAACCAGAATCATCAAAATCACCGAAAACAGATGAGGTGAGTCCACATAAAGGCCCCAAGATAAGCGACAGCAGTCAGATAGGACCTGCTTTACCTCCCCATTTATTTGATCAGACCAGAACAAAATCCCTGAACAGTGATTCAAGTGACTCTGAAACTTCCAAACCAACCAGAGGAAAGGAAAGCCTCACTCAAAATATTGAAATAGGGCCAGCCTTGCCTCCCACCTTAGAAACCAAATTCCTATCAACGAAACGAATGACGATGATGACAATGTAGGGCCAGCTTTACCCCCTCACCTACGTAAAAATGTGAAAATCAATGAAGACAGTGACGAAAATGCTGATAGAATAGGGCCAGCTCTTCCACCTAATCTCTGTGCAAAAGTGGAAATTGATGAAGAAGACAGTGACAATGATGACAGTATAGGGCCTGCCCTCCCTCCTCAGCTCCTGAATCAAGAACGAAATATCAAAGTGGTTCCACCTTCTCCCTCACACAAGATGAGTTCCAATCAAATTGGACCTGCTCTTCCTCCTCATTTGAAGAAAGACCAAGGCTCTGACAGTGAAACAGAGTTGAAATCAGTGGGTCCTGTCCTGCCTCCCAAATTGAAAGAACGTTCAGCATTGGGCCCTGCGCTTCCCCCAGGAATGGATCTTGACCTATTGGATGAAAAGATGAGTAATGCTAGCAGTGATGATGAAGTTGTAGGACCACTTTTACCTGAAGAAATGATAAAAAGCGGCAAGAACTATAACGTTCAGGCCCAGCTAGAAAGAAATGCTGCTGCTATCAAACGAAAAATGGAGGAAAAGGTAATGATAATTGATTGTGTTTTGTTTTTGTCGATTCTGCATTTTGATAGAATGTTAAAAATGAAAAACAATTATTTATTATTTTTTTTGTGTTTTTAGGATTTGCCTGATGTTTCCACAAGACGAGAGGAATGGATGCTAGAGTTGCCTCCCGAAGGTACTGTGGACCTTGGTTTGGGACCCAGAAGTTTCCGAGCTCGTGGAGCTCCAGAGAAAGGAGCAGATCGATCAATGTGGACTGATACGCCTGCTGATAAAGCTCGCAAGGAAGAAGAAGCCAAACGACGGGTCAGTATTTTTGTTTTGAAGAAGAAAACTGTGCTGAATTAACTTTTTACTTGATATATTCCCTCTATATTTTCAGTTTGAACTCGGCATTTCTACTACAGAGGATGTGAAGAAAGCCGGAATATCCAAACAAATGTCAAGTAAAGACAAATCAATGGAGACTATTGTTAAAAAACATAAGAGATCCAAGGAATCCCTTTTAGATGCCCATCAAAAGAAAATCAAAGAAGAGAAAAAGGTTTGTTTGAATTTATTAATGTTTTGTGTTTGAGCAATCCAAGTGTTTGACCTGTTTTGTTGTTTTTATCCAGAAGAAAGAAAAGGCAGGTGCCAAACAGGAACGACGTCCATTTAATAGAGAGACTGACCTAAAAGTCAATGTTTTTGATGACGCCCAGAAGAAAGCTATTTACAAGAAGGCTCAATTACTTGATAGCAGATTTTCTAGGGGAGAAACAAAGTATTTGTAGTTTTCAAAAAATTTGAAGGCCAGACCACATGTTTCAAAACTTTTCATGTTTTCCCAAAAAGAGAACATACATAAGTTTACTGGGCTTCTGATTGTTAAAATTTATTTGCCTTAACTGTCCAGTTTGCTTAAGAAGTTCTATTCTTTCTGTGTAATATTATTTATTTTTCCTTTGACAAAAATGTTCATCTTTTTTACAAGTTTTACTTCTCTTTGTCAAGTATGCAAAATAAAATATCAATCCTATCTTTATTAACATGACATGAGTGCTTAGATCCCCAGCCCATTCAAGATTTCTTGGAATGATCAGTGCATAAGGAAAGAGGAAAATAAGTAAATGATGTGAGTAGAAAATATTTATATTTATTCTTGTAAAACTAATAAGATATTATCAAAAGTTTTGTCTAGGAAACCCAGAAGAGTCACTAGCAAATCTTTTAAAGGGTTCAAACACTCGAGGATAAAAATATTGAATTCGATAAAAAAGGGGTTCTAAACAAAAGTATCAATCTAAAGTTGTTTGGTACAAACCAAATACACTATCACATCAAAGATACAAAAATACACTAATAGCACACAGTGCAGGAATTGATTTTGTAATACTCTAATGGAGTTTGTTAATCCTGTTGGAGAAACAAACTGAATACTTACCATCAGTTAAATACTTATTATCTTTTACTTAGTCAAAGGCAGTGATTTAAACAAAGTATCAAATACTCCTACTATGAACAAAAGTCTCAATTAAGAGGTGAACATACGTAGCTTCAAATACATAAAACCTGACAAGGGTGTGCTGTAGTTAAAAAATCAGGGAGTTAAATAAAGTGGAATAATATACCTCAATACACAAGAGTCCCCAATCAATACATTTTTACATAAAACATTGTTATTTCAGTTTTTAAAAAATAAAGTCCTCCCCAGGGACAAAAATTTGGAGAACCTTAGCCTCTGATTTAGGTTTGTTTTAAGAGAATGAGGAATCACAGCCAGGTATCCAGTTCTGAATTAACTTATCATCTTGTTAATCTTTTCAAGGGCATATTGCAAACTTTGAGCAAGTTGTAAACTGCAACCAGTCTTCTGCATGGAAGAAAACCTAAATGTACGGATGTTCTTCTCCAGATCGTGATATGTTACAGCACCCATTAAAGGACACATTATGATTTTCGTATGATCAAGGAAGTTGACCTGCAATACAGATATTACAAAATGAGGAACTCTCATCACACTAAAAAATAGCATGTGAAACAGTTGTATCATTGAAGCACCTACCTGCAATGTTCCATTTGTCAGATGCATTACTACAGCTGAGGGTGTGCGGAACCAGGTGTGCAAGTAAGGAATGCGAGACAAGGAATCGCACTCCCGAGGTGCAATGGCTCCTCCAGCTTTAACCAGATGTTCGTTCATATAACGGCGGAAATAAGTGAGAAGTTTCATCTTTTTCTCCAGCACTGAGGGGAAGCTTACTTCAGTGTAGTAATTTTCAGACCCATCTCTGTCAATGTAATGTACATCCCTGGGGCAAAGTAAATTTTTGGCATTAAAGTTTGTCATTACCAACAGTACTTCACTGTCAATTGGCATGTTGTACTTACTTCCCGTTGGGTAACATGATAAGCTTGGTTGTGTCATTAAACATAACACCAACACCCTCATCGCACAGCTGATATCCAAACCCATATTTATCTGAGTAATCAACCCACTTGCTGACCCAAACAAAGGGTGATGCAGCAGGATCAGACATATCATCTGAAAACACAGTTATATTGACAAATTAAAAACCATTCAAAAATCAGTGACAAGCTAAGGTTCAAGTCTTGAGGCCTACCAGAATCAATGATATCCTTTCTCCCTGGATGAGTCTTCAGCAGCTCTGAAAGCTGAGTCCGCAATGAGTTAAGGTGTTCACGGAAATTGAATGATGTGCAGGCAACTGTTCTTCCTCCAGCAGCTGGCATACTTTCACGAGGATTGCCACCATCCCCTCTCTTCCTGCCAGTTGGACTTGCTAGAATTTCACCACCTATTAAGAAAGGGGAAAAGAATTATAACAAACACTTTCAAAGAGCAACATTAGACCTGTTAAAATGACACCAACCATTGACTTCAATAAGAGGTTTGCGTAAAAGCAGATTCTTGTTCTCCAAGGTGTCAAATCTAGGAGCAGTAGTAAGACAGGAGACAGGAAGCTGCTGTGGTAAATATCCTACAGTTTGAAGAAACAGAACATTTACAATAAATAACAATCCATGCAGAGTTCACACCCTTAAAAAACATGACTTTACAGCAGAACAAACCTGAAGTAAAGAAACTATTTTTCAGAAGTTCCTCAACTCTAGGTCTGGCTTTTGGATCTGGCTGCAGCATTTTGCTGATTAGTGATGATGCAGACTTTTTCAGATTAGGGGGAATCACATATTCACATCTCTTGATTCGCCCATAAGTTTCCTTCAAAGAACTAGTTTCAAATGGAGGTTTGCCAACAAGTAATGTGTACCTGCAAAGAAGAGTAGAATCAAATTAGAACACCTGTTGCAGGTTGAGTACTGTACTCCATGAAGTTTGATAAAAAGTACTTACATAATGCAACCAATGGACCAAACATCAACTTCATAGCTGTGACCTCTCTTTTGAAGAATTTCTGGAGCGATGTAGTTTGGAGTTCCACACAATGTCCTGCAAGTTAAAACCATCAATGAAAATATTCATAAAATTGATAGCACAAGCAACATAGGAAACCCTATAATTTGAATTGAACTTACTTCTTCCTCTCACCATCAAACTCTAGTTTTGCTGCAAGACCAAAGTCTCCAATTTTAACTTCCATGTTATCATTCAGGAACAAATTTCCCAATTTCAAATCTCTGTGGATAATGTGGCAATTATGTAAATAAAGCACTCCTTCAAGAATCTGTTTAAGGTAGTATCTTGTTTCAGGTTCAGTAAGTGCCTTGCGACGTTTGTGAAGTTCCATCATTGACTGAAAGCACATAAGACAAAGAATATAGAACATCAGCAGTACCTTATATAACAAATGTAAACAAAGAAGTCCTTACTCTTTTTCGGCACAGTTCCAGGACGATATATATGTTAAGGTCATCTTCAAAGAAACCATGGAAGCCAACAACATGCTTGTGATTCAAACTGCGGTGAATGGAGATTTCCTGAGTTATCTTCTCTCGCTGGTTGTGTTTCGTCATTAATTTTTTCGGAATGATCTTGCCAGCATATACTCTGCTTGTTCCAATTTGCTTGATTTCATAACATTTGGCAAACCCACCCTAAGAAAAGCAAAACATTAAATTAGAGAAAATAGCATGGGAACCGACAGGAATGTGGCTACAATGTATGACAGTCAACTTCGAAGCAAACAAGAATACATTCAGGAAGATTTAAGAGTACACAAAGTTAAAATTACACGCACTATTAAAGTTTAATGTCAGGGACGCTGCAGGCAAAGGTAAAGAATGAAGTCAAAGCCTAAAAACCTCACCCAAACCGAATATTTGACACAACATCATTGGTTAGAAGACCGCATCAAGAGGTCTGACATTGCATCAAATACACACGCCATGAATGCAAGATCCTTCTGAAAACACTCCGGGCGCTTCATCTTGGAGAGGCGTCCTGTGATTCCGTCTGAAGGTCGGAACCACCGACTAAAGGCAATCCTTTGGTAAACGCCCTTAGGCATTCGGTCTAACGGCTACACGACCGGCGGAGGAAATAAGTCCTCTCTGCTACAAACCTTTCCAAAGAAGCTTCCTTTCTCATATGATGTTCTTGTCCCTGGGTCCACAATAATTTTGGGTATTTCCTTTCCATCGTCCATCTTCGACATTTTCAGTTATTGACTCGGGACAGAGCACCACGCTTCTTCCTTCAGGCCGATGGAGGGCTCCGGATTTGAACTTACGAGTGTGTACCGTCTCACGTAAACCGTTCCCTCCAACTGCCAGTGGCTGGGCTCTGATTGGTCGAACTACAAATGACAACAAAGCGTTTACCAACATAACAAATTTTAAAAAATGTCTCACATCAATAAAAATGGACAAAAGCGCCTTTTGAATGTTGATTTTGATATTTTCAAATAACGATTAAATTAATGCAAGAGTGCGAGGCTTACTGTTCATTCGTTTTAGACTAGTTCAAAATCAAAAGTTTTGCATTGCTCTTGCACGTATGACTTCTGCTAGCGGTCTGCTCTTACTGAGTTATTCTGAAATGATAATGAATCAAAACCTACATTTATTTGTCTCACGAGAAACAAAAGAAACGAAAGAATCCTCTCTGCAGAAAGCAAGACAATAATCATTCATACGGCGAGCAGCATGAACCGAAACACTTTCTCTTCGGTGATCAACAAGTGACAATCAAACCGGAAGTCAAAGCTGGAAAGCCGGAAACAGTCTATGGCGGTCCTCGCTTGGTTGGAGCGAAACACCGGACAAGGAAGAAAACGGGCTTACGATCGCGTTATTTCGACAGAAGTTTCCAGCTTCGCCACCTTACATTTTCTAAGAGTGCAGTGACCTGCCAGAGTAGTGGTCTTGGAGTCGCCGGCTGAGGTGCTGCGGGCGGCACTCTGTCATGCCGCGCTTCGGAGCGACGCGGGGTCGCCGTCCCGTCCCGTCCTGTCCCGGGGAAACGCCGAGATGACTCTGTTCGGGTTCGGCCTGCTTTTGCCTTTCGCTCCGTCTAGGCCGTCCAGGCCGTCTGCGCCCCGTCGCTGCTGTTGCGTGCAGCGCCAGGCAGCGCAGCCCCGATGAACTCGGCTGTCAGGCCGAGGGCAGCCGAGGGAGCCGAGGGCCACCCCAGAGGGCCACCCCAGAGGGCCACCCCAGAGGGCCACCCCTTGGGGCTGCGTCTGGATACGAAGTCGGCAAGGGGATGCTTCCATCAGGCAGTCGGTCGGCCTAGCCGCCCTGCGCGCCCTGCGCGCCCGGCCCTGGAAACGGGCTTGGGGGGCAACGGCTTGTTTCGGAGCCAAACCTCTACTCGCTCCTGGTACGCGCGGGCACGTTCGTAAATCAGGTCAGCGGGGCGAGACAGCGTGGCAGCGAGGCAGTCCGGGGCTGGCAGTGCCCTAGGCAGTGCGGCAGGGCATGGCCCCCAAGGCCCTCTAAGTTCAAACAGAAAACGTGCAAAGTGGGATAGGGACGGCTATCTTGTGGCTCGCCTCTCATTTTGGTGGCTCATGTTTTCCTCGGACTGGTTCTTCCGACGTGGTGTTCGTTCTCAAGGTCACGTAGGCCCATGCGTGCCATGTGCTCGCGGCGAGCAGCGCGCCTGCTGATAGGCAACCCATCGAGCAGCCGCGCAGTGCAAATTTTGGCGCTCAGGCGCACATGGGCTCACATCACCAAATCGGGTTCAGCTCATTTTCACACCAGCCTCCCCCCCCCCCCCAAAGCGCAACACGTACTTGCGCTGGAGTGGGTTGACAACGGGTCCAACATGTTCATGTCATGCGGTTCGACGGTTGCACCCTTGCTGCACGCTGCTGCACGCCCATGACATCCCCCTTCCCCTTCTTCTCCTGGACGGGAACAGGGGAGCCCGACCCTTCAAGAGGGTAGGGTGGTTGTCCTCCTCGCTTGCACCACTGGAGGCTTGCAACCCCCCCCCCCCCCCCGTCCTCGCCCCCCTTTTCCTCTCCTCTTGCAACGGCTGCTAGACGGCTGGTCCCACGACTGAAGGTGCTGGGGGGCCGTCCCTGAAGGAGGGACCGTCCAGAAAACAAAGACGCTCCCTTCGCGAGAGGAACGCGCAGCCGCCTCTCATAAACGTGGCACAGTTCCAAAGAGGTCCAAATTAGAAAAGGTGCGGGTGGAGGTGGGGTATTTCCGCCGTTGTGTTATGGTGCGTGTTTGTCTCTGGGTGCTTCTGGCCCGTGACTACTACGTGGCTACACCGTGTTGATCGCCAGCACGAAAAGGCAGAGAGGGCCACATCACTGATAACGGCGAACGTGACATTTACGTCGCAGACTCGCGAAGTTCGTGTACATAGGAGCAACATGTTATTGTGCGCAGAACCTGGCAAAGAGGCAAAGGGTGTTGCTTAGCTTTTGGGGGGGGGGAAGCATTTTACGGACGATCCCCAATGACGCAACAATTCTTTGTCAAAGAAAACCACAGAGTCCGGATGTAGCTTTCCGACTGCACAAGAGCATGCTCGTCCTGGGCAAGAGCTAGGTCTGCCAAACCTCGCGTGTGTGATACATTTTTTGATATCATCGTCCATTTCCGAGGCCATTCAGGTTGACTCCAGGAAACGTCGGGATGGCCTAGAGCCCTATGGCCCTCTGGCCGAAATCCGTCACAAACAGGGCATCTGCACTGCTAAGTTCGGCCGCTGCTGCTCATGGAAAACTTAAATCAGTGAAAGTGGATTATTTCCAAAGGATTGAGGGGAAAGGGGTAGGGAGAATGGGCAAAACAGTATGGGCTTGGAGTGGCGTGGAGTGGCGGGGAGTGGCGAGGTGGGGTGAGACGATGCGTCACAAGTTTAGTCACAGCCTGGGAAGGCCGCCGCACACGCATAGCGGGGTGTGCCTCCGCTGGTCTTTGTGATCGACATCTCGACCCGAGCCAGGAATATTGTCGTCACTGTCTGCGTTTCTATATCAAATTCAATCTTACAGCACGATCAGACTTTCGACGCGAGGTTTCGCGTCTCCCCTGCTTCCCAAGCGATTTATCACCGCCAGACGGAAGCACTATTTTCTCGACCCGTGGCGGAGTGACACACTTCCTGGCGTCGGCGACGCGTATATAAGCCGTCTCGCACTACTTTCACGCCATTTTGAGTCGCAACGAGAACCCAAGCACGTCGGCCCGCTGTTCATCTGCGTCGTAGTCGTGGACTGCGCTTTCTCTTTCTTGGACCTATTGGATTGGAAGAAGATTCTACATCCGTCCTCCCCTTCCCGGAGCTAGGTACGGTATCTAGGCTGTTTGCGCTAGCTTTATCATTCGCCAAGCCTAGATCCACCGACCCTAGTAGTCCTACGCTGCCCTGCCCCGAGCCCCGAGCATTCCAACTGCAATATGGTGGCCTCGATCGATCGCAGAGTCCCTTGCCCCCAGGGGCCCACCGAGGAGCTGGTGAAATTAATTTCAAAGTTCCGCACCAAGAAAGTGTGTTTGAAAAAGCGTCCGAGGCGCGATCTGAGAGTTGAAGCCATTCTCACGAATGTTTTGACTCGCGCTCAGGAAGAACTGAAAGCCAAGCAACAGCAGAGACTTCGCAAGTGGCTCGAAGTAAAGTCTTGTCTAGGTGTCTCTGACGAAAAGTACAAATGTGATTCTGATGTCTGGAGAGAGAAAGATTTAGGGCTGGACTCTCTGCATTCTTTCATGCTCCAGCTGGGGGAAGTGAAAACTCCCCTTCACCGATAGTCGGCTATTTTTAATTTGGGCCATTATGTCAATACTTCCATAGCTGCTCTGTCAGCTTAAACTTATGTGCTGTGATTAATCTTTATATAAATAATTCAAGAGTTTGTAAAGCTTGAGATTGGAGCTTGAATTGCTCATATATTCTGGTCAAATTTGTTAAGTTTTAAGACTGAAAATCTATGATTATATTGATCTCACGTGAATATCTTGGTGTGCTATTTGCTTTGGTACATTGTTGTGTAAGCTGATGTTGTGTTCAACAAGCTGAATTTTGTATTTGATTTTGGGATCTGTTGTTATTCGTGATTGTTTTTCCATTACAGTCTCCAATAAGAAGGAAATCCCATGATGAGGCACCAGAGTTCCCAACCTACCACAGTCAGACCAGACCACCACGCTGTTGGGCCAGGCAGCCGTGTCGGTCCTAATGGATGAAGCCAGGCTTGGAATGGACACTGCCAAGTGTACTGACCTGAGGTGGGTGTGTAATGACATCAGTTGGTGATACATCTGAGGTTTTTGGCTACTTTGGCTTGCAAAGTTCTTTTAGACTTGGTTGTCACACATTGGTCTGTGTGAGGAAAATTCGACGGCCTCTTTGATGTGCGGCTCGATTCATATGTCAGTGCCTCTATTTAGCACCAACTAGTCTATGCAGTTATCTCTGGAAGTGCGCTTGTCAGTGTCTATCATCAATCTGGACATCTTGGAAGACATGACTCCTGGTCCGATGGCTGCGATGGCTGCACTTGGGCAGATGGTCTCCAATGATAGTTGAAGTGAGTACCATGATTCGTTGTTCTGATAACAACTGATAGGAATCTAAATGGCCAATATTTCCATGGCTTGATTGTTTTTGGTGGTGCGCTCTGTAGTGTGGGTTGTTTGGAAGTTGAGCCTTACTGTAATGAGTATTATTCTGTCAGAATAAATATGAAAGTTACCAAAGTTGTGTTGTGTTATCCTTGGGGTAGGGTTGTGGGTAGGTTAAGTGTTTGTACTCGCAGGCTGTGCCCTGATTCTACACATTATTACGGTACCTGCTGTTCCCTGTGTCCTTGCTGGGTGGCAATGCGTTCTGGGACTGCCTTCAGCCCTTCTGGTCCGACATCCAAGATTGTCGCTGAATAGTTCCTTAAAGTAGCATTGTTTTTTTGTTTTGTTTTTTTTCTTTTTGGTTTAGAGTACAGAACATTGTCTTTCAATTCTCTCAATTTTATTTGTTCTGATGATGAATGTTTGTGTTCCTCAAGCCTCAACCGTCCACTTGCTTCGCATTGGGGCGACGAGGAGGTGAACGCGAAATCCTTGTTCTGGAGCTGGCATGGGCTGAACCAGCTTGGACATCTTCCTGATCATTATGTCAAGTCTTTGGTAGTCACTCAATTCGTCATGTTCTCCCATGGACTCTTTGCCTCTTGGGAACAGCAGTGAAATGTACCTAAACAAATACAAGAAATACATCGGAATCCATACATATGCAAGTAAGTGTGGTTTGAAGAATGATGCCCCTCATTCACCAAATTTGGTCTAGCTTGACATGGTGTTGAGTAATTGCTCTTATGTCTTTCAGACCTTTTGTTTTACCTGGATTAGCGAACATGAAATGTCACACACTCAAGGGCAGCAGAGGAAATCTCAGCTATCTCAACAAAGCTGCGCTTCTTAGTTCTTGGACACCACTTCAACCAAAGACTGCCTGCTGATCAATTTGTATCAACATCTGATTAACAAATTTGGCATGATTAAAGTCCGCTTCACCTTCAGGCACCTCCTGAATTGCTCATGTCCAGGACTTGTCTTGAAGTGGAAGCTTGCTTGTGAACATGACCTGTACACTACTGTTACCCTTATGCTGGCAGATGCTACTTCAGCCGCCTCCAAGTCCATGACAATCGGTGACTGGCTTTGCGAGAGTGAGTGGAATCCAAGTATGAGAGCTTGGTCCTCCGTCCCCACTCGGCCACGATGTTCACCATCCCAGCATATCCCGGTCCTTCTGCGGTGGTCATCTAGTGCGAAAAGAGACTACTCACCTGACCCTGAGCCCCCACTGCTGCCGTAGATGCAAGTCCTGCTGTCAGTTGGATTCATCTCATCCTTTGCTTCTGAGCACACATTGCCTGGAAGCTGCGTGGGATCTTTAAAGTCTGATAGTCAAGAGTTCGCCGAGTCTCTAGAAGTTGGTGAAGTAACATTGATGCTTCATTCAGCATATTTGTATCAAGGAATCTAGTTCAATCGCCTTGACTGGATTTGGAAGTCCCGTGTGGACTTAATATTTTGAATTCTGAGCAGCAGATACCAGCTGGCTGCAGTCCTGACCGGGCTGATCTTCGGCTCCGGATGGTCTTCTGCAGTTGTGTGGGCTGAGTGTCTATCCATGGCGTGTATCGAAAGGCAGCCTTACAATCCATGAAATCCTTGAACAGTCCGTGGTGGACTGTCGACTGATAGTTGTTCAGTCACGAATTGGCAGTTCAATCAGCAAAGGCTGCCAGCGTTAGTCTGTCATGGACTAAGCGAATGCTGTACATGGGTGCAATTGACCCATGCCGTTGAATGAAGGAGGTTTAAGTAGATAGATGCACCATGGCTGGTAAACCTCAGGGATGGATCGTTACGTTAGAGGAGAAAGAGATGAGGGGTACCAAAGCCCTCCCTCCCTCCTTTGAACCTGGGAGCATTCTTGCGATGAAAAGCTGCTCAACGTAGCACTAACAGGTGGGCTTTAGTTTGCTTGTTTCTGAAACCTTTCTCTATTTTCACATTTTAAGAAGGTTTGTTGAACAGTTAAGTGTCATTTTTTAAAAGATCTTCTGTCACTGATGCATTTCAGGATTCGTGTATAGATGAGAGACATTCGGAAGGGTGACCCATGACCGGAATAGGAATCGTACCACTGAGCGACCTTTGGAATGTTCGAGCGGTTATTACTCTACAATTATGGCTATGAAACATGCGTGGATTTGAAAAATATTCGATCAGGCTTCAAGACCTGCCCCTTCTAAATTCTGAACAATTTCAAGCCCCAGGAGGAGCTGTTTGTCCAACGTACTTGCACCTAAGGAAGAAAGGCTACAAGTCTGGACATCACATACTATGGCTTCAACTCAGCAGATTATGAGAGATTTGCTGGCTTGACTGGGCTTCTTGTGGATACAAGAAATATTCTTAATTTTTTCTTATGTCCAGCCCTTACCTGGCTAGTGATACTTTTCCCCCATTTTGGTGTTGTAGACATAGCCGTGTATCCGAGTAAGCCGTCCGCTTTGAGTTCATCTCCAAGTCATACCAGCGAGACGGGTTGTGGAGACTGCCCTTCCAAATTCATCTGGGCAAATTTCTGAAGACCGAAATTCGAGCGCTGTCATCACAAATCACAATCGTTTGAATGCGTCTTCCATATTTTACTCATCAGATGCTCCAAGCAGTGCAACATGCCGCAAATATTGGTATCAGTCCCCGTTCTCGAACATTTATTGCTCTATACCATGTTATGGTTTGTAAGCATGACATGCTGTATTAGTTACCTGGGTTGGGAGGGGTTAGAAGTAACCCACCAGTCTGCTTGCAGTCAACATTAGAGGTTCCATTTATTCAACTTATCCTGCTTGAAGAGTAACCAAGTTGGGATTAATCGAAGATTCAGTCGCATCCGAAGTGGTATCCTGAAAGGTCCCACTGCGCCAAGGAATACGGGCTGCCTGTCAGACAAAGGTTATCGCCTTAATTTTATCAACTCGTGAGGGTGTGTGCTCTTCACAAATGTCCATACAGGCTGGAGAGAAAATTTGTCGAGAGTGAATGATTATCCCGGCCGTTTGAGAGCACAGTTCCAAAGCGTTATCGTCATCATCTCCATCGCATATGTCAGCTCCTGTCCTTCGATCATCAGGCTACATACTCCACATTCTTCGATCTACTTTCAACTGAACAACAGTTATCGACAATCGCAATATTTATTCTTGTGTATCGTTCCTCAAGCCAACTTTACACACATTTAATAAGCCACTAGCTTATATCTTCAAATGTTTTTTCTCATGCTGCAGGATAAGGTTCCATGTTCCATTTGAGTTCCTTCAAAGTAGCAGTGATTTGTGTCAAGGCCTTCCTGCCAGCAACATCTTGCACTCTCATATGATCAGGAAGTTTGATGTATTTATACAGAATGCAGTAACTTGTGTGTTCTTGTGTACTTACAGTTTATGTTTTACTGTTTGATCATTTAGACCAGGATTTGAACACGAGACATTATCAATGGAAATATAGAAGTTCTTTCTTCCTCTTGGCATTATTCAGTAGTGGGAATTGCTGGCTGCTTGTAAGTTAATGCAGGTTTGGCAGAATTTTTCCTGTGGAAAAGAATTTGATTTGTTTGCTCCCCCGAAGTGGGGTAGTGGCCATAATGGAAGGAGGGTGGTTTTTTGAAAATGTGCAGGAAAATCCCGTTTGGTGTGCCTTTGGAACCTGTGAGAGAGTCTAGTCGTGTGCTGCTCGGTTTATTTTAACAGCAGGTGACACATTTCCTCAATCAATTATCAAATGATGGTCTACTTGAAATTAAGTGAGGGAGTTTAACCTCCATTTTCTTGTAAGTTTGAGCCTCCTTTGTGAGGTTTAAACATCGCTAACCTTTGTCACCCCCTAGTGGGTGGTGGTTACTTGTGTTGTGTCTCAGATTCTCTGTTGGCGCTGCAGTCTGAAGGTTTTGCAGTAAGGTTTGCCCTCAATTTTGTTATAATCCATTGAATCCCCAATGGAATTGGGGTAGGGTGCATAACAATTGTTTCTGAGACTGCGCAGTTAATCACAATTCGAGCTGGAGAGTGCGTTCAAATGCAGCTTCATGGGCAACAGACACTATTGTTTCGCCATTAGAGGTGACCTTGTGGTTGTATTTTCTCGTTTCTCTTCGTTTTAGGCACTTGTGTGTGCCAGGGAGTTTGTGCCTTTGTCAAGTTGCAGGTTGAGGAACTTGCTTCATGGTCAGTCACCCGCTGGCCAATGTTCTGTGGCTTCTGTTAGTGGTTCGTGGATAATGGTCTCCATTACGGTATCTCACCAGCTGGAGGGTAGGCGGTGTTCATCTAGGAAGCAAGTTGGTACATAGTTATCTCCTTGAGCTGTTTTCTCCTACACAAGTGGGGCTGCTTGTGTTGTGCCAAATTTCAGGAGATTTTTAAAAGTGGCATTCAACTGTACTGATAAATCCTATAGTAAGGATGTGATAGACTATCAGTTACGCCAACAAGTTAAGATTTTGAAGGCCAGCAGGTATATGGATAAATAACAGAATACTCTGATAATTTAACCAGATGGCAAAAGGCATAATGGATATCTTTTTCTACAATGGAGTAATGTATAACTGAACTGTATCATCTCACTGAATTTATGTTCTTATTTTTATTGAAGTTATGCAGAGGTTCAATGTTAACTGACTGTTGGGATGTGTTATACAGGTAGATAGTAACATTTTCCATTATTTCCAGTTTTGGAAAGCAAATGGTGGATTTTCATCTCTGTTGAGAATGAGATTTAATTGTAGTTGCAAAAATCCTGCACATGCTGAAAGCATTTGAATTTGGAGAGATGTCTAAAAATCAGTACATGATATTGTTTACAAAAGTAAGATGCGACAGGTTTTGTTGAAGTAGCAATAATGCTGAAATATCTTCAAAATGAAAAACACTTGTGCAAGTTGAAACAGTATGAAATCATCATAAATCAATCATCTTAGTACTGAATTGTACTATGGGCAGTTGCCCAGTGAGATACGGGCTAATGCTGGCTGCATTTTATGCCCAAGAGCATGCGTTGATGGCTGCTTATACCTTTATGAAATGTGGTATTTCTAATGAGCTGAGATGCTGCATCAAGAATTGAACAAAATCGCTGTGTGGAAAGAAGCCAAGTGCTGTGAGCTGAAATGACACAAATGCTGCAAA